ATCTATCAAAACAAATATGTTGAATCTATTAACTTTTAAGGATAATTTCGTTATTTTCCTTGATCAAATATATCTCTTAAAATTATATATATAATTAATATAAGACACAAATTATAGGACGAAATAAATATATTTATTCCATCCGATAAAAGAAATCTTTGTTTTTTGAGAAATGGAAGTGTCATTTCTTTACCTGAATTTTTTTTTTAAAAAAATTAAGTACTTTTAATATTATTTTTATAATTTAAATATTAATTTTTTCCTTTTTTTAAAAATTTATCTGTTGTCTCGGTGTTATAGTTTGGTCAACTGCATCTTCACTATGACTCGTTGTTTAGGCAACATTACCCCCCAGATTTTTTGGTCATCAAACACTCGTAATTCTGTAGCATATGCCTTGCTTATATCTTAGGTTTTATCTACAAACGAAGCTACTTTCTCCTTTTTACTCCCCCAAAATATTTTCCATCTATTACTCGCATGGCTTATAGGGAGGAAATTGTTTAAAAATAGTTGGTTTCATAATTTTTATTTTATTGATTCATCATCTAATCACCATGCCATAACAAATCTTAATGGTGAATATATCGATCATATCTGTCCAATAATTGCAATATTTTATTAAATTTGATGTTTAGAATCAAATGCCGTCCATTTAACATTCTATCAAAATTTATTAAATATTATGAATGTATAAAATATATATTTGAAATGCACGAATTAAAATGACCTCCGTAGTAAAAGAATTATTGTTATTCCTTGATGATGCAAGTTTGGGTATGAATGATCAATATCGAATGGTTGAGATTTATCTTTAAACAGATATTACTATTTACTTATCCCAGATTATTCAAATATATATATATATATATATATATGAAATCTCATAATTTAGTTTCAAATCTTTACGTTGAAACCTAATTTAACTCGCTGAGTATGGAACGGACTCACGTTAATGATATAAAATAAAGAGAAAATCGCCTCAGTGACCAAAAAAAAGTTATAATATACGATTTTAACCAATTTTTTTTGGATTTGCCAAAATGACCAACAAAATCGCAACGCGAAATAAAAATCGCAACGCGATCCCCAGAATCGCAAATCAGTTTCCAAAATCGCAACGCGATTCTTGAAAATCGCAATGCGATAGTACAAATTCGCATTGCGATTTTCCAAAATCGCAACACGAATATGAAAATCGCAACGCGAACACATAAATCGCAACGTGTATCCGTATATCGCACGCGTATCCGTAATCGCAATGCGTATCCGTATATCCAACGCGTATCCGTAAATCGCAACGATAATCCGTAAATCGCAACGAGAATCTGTAAATCGCAACGATAATCCGTAAATCGCAACGAGAATCTGTAAATCGCAACGATAATCCGTAAATCGCAACGAGAATCTGTAAATCACAACACTGAAATTTTGGGTATATAACACTGAAATCATAAACTAAATCCCTAAATCGCAACTCATTCCATCTCCATCTATCACTCTCTCCGGCGACATCCGTTCCTATATCCAACGACATCCTTCCCAATCCGGCAACAGGTTTTAGTTTCGCAGCTCGTCTGTTAGTAAATTATTTACAACCATGAAATCATCTAATGTTGATCATGTTTGGATAGATTTGTGTTTTGGAGGGTCATGGGATAATGTTCATGGTGTTTTACAATATATGCCTTTACCCATGAATCTTCAACTAAAATTGTCTTTACAAAAGTTAACTTATGAAACTCTAATGCTACGTGTTTCAAATAAATTGAATTTAGAGCCCCTAAGTGGATTTAGGCTATCTATCAGAGAAATGGTAAAGTTTATTTGTTAACCGACAATGAAGATGTTGAACGATTCATTGCTTACATTAGTGTTTCACAAGATGATGTTACATTGTATGTTGTTGAAACCTAGAAGTTAGTATTGTTGGGTCAGTAGCGGGTAGTAATCAACTAAGTTTTTCTCAAAACCCACAACCTTCTCTAATCCAAATCCCAATCAACTTTCAGCACCAAATTCCGGTTTCGTATTGACCAGTTAGACGATGATGAGCCAACAGAAAAAATTGTGAGTACTAGTCAGTATTCGAAATTTGGTCTTGGTCAATATCCGGACTTTGATATTGGTCAATACACGGATTTTGATGTGTTTCAGAAGAAGAAACAGACCATGTGTGTAATGATTTTAATATGGTCAATACCGAATTTTGATGATGAAACACCCGTTGCCGAGAAGATATTGTTGATGATATGAGGAGGAAGTTACGACTGTGAAGAACATGTTGAACATCCATTCTGTAATTCATATAATCCTGAAGAAGAAAAGAAGAAGAAAAAGTCCCCGAAGAAAAGAAAATGCACGGGAGTATAACTGGAATATGCCAGAATTACTTCAGTTACCGGAAGAAGAGTTGGCAAAGAAAGCAGTTGATTGTTACACAAAAGTTATTCGTGTCAAGAAGATGATTGTTTTGATACAAAGGAAGACTTGAAGATAGCTTTGTATACGAAATGTGTGGAAGATGGCTATCAACTAAAAGTTAACAAATCAAGCAAAGATCGTTTCGAAACAAGGTGTATGATTGACAAAAACTGTACGTGGCGTATGATTGCAAAGAGAATAAAGAGATTGCAAAATGTTTCAAGTTAGGACTTTTATTGATAAACATACATGTTCAAGAACCCAAGTTTTTCCTCACCATAGACAGGCAAACAAAAAAGGTGTTGGGTGGTTTTTGGCTGAGTTAATGTTTTTGAATGGCAGGTATATCGAGGACATGAAATTATGACTGACATGAATGCTCGGTTTTCAAGATTAGTATATCATATTCTCAAGCTTGGAGAGCCAAATGTTATGCCTTGGAATTGTTGAGGGGGTCGCCAGAAGCATTGTTTGCCCAAACTGCCGGCTATTGTCACAATTTAAAGCTGAAAAATCCTGGGTCGGTAACTCATATCAAAACAGATAGAGATGGACGCTTTGAGTTGCTGTTTATCGCCATTGGTGCTACGGTTAGTAAATCAATATAATTTTGTGACTCATTTTGTTAGTTACATGCATTTCACATTTAAATGATTATATTTCTTGTGTATATATTTGTAGATTCGTTCGTTTATACTTGCATGCGCCCAGTATTATAGTTGACGGAGCACATTTGAAAGGTCGATACCTTGAGTAAATTATTAGCAGTAGCCATGGATGCTAAAATGGGATATTGCCAATAGCTTACGGGGTTGGCAAATCTGAAACCTCTGATTCATGGACATTGGTTTATGGGGCATCTTAGGGATTGCATAGGTCCTATTAGCAATCTGACAATCATATCCGATAGGGCAAACTCAATTGACAACGCTGTTAGAAGGTGTTTCCCAGATGCTTTTATGGACTTTGTGGTGTTCATTTGTATAGAAATCTAAAATCAAGGTCTGCTGGTAAAAAAGCACAAATGGACATACTGGAAGGCTGTAAAGCTTATCGGGAAGTGGATTTCAATAAGCATATAAATTGTTTAAGACGTGTTTTGCCTCAGTGTGCTCAAAAACTAGAAGATGTCGGGTTTGAAAGATGGTCAAGAGTACATCAACTTGGAGCAAGATATGGTTTCATGACGTCTAATAGTGCAGAATCAATCAAGTTTTTTCGAGCCTCTATTCACAGTGGTACTACAAGAAGAAACCATGCAGGTATTATTTCTTTGAATTTCGTAACTTATCATATTTATATTTTACTAAGTATGTTTATTTAAATTTACAGGAACATTGGAACATCGTGTTACACATGGACTGAAAAAAAGATAACGAAACGTGTTGTGAAGTCAACGTCATGGAGAGTTGAACCATGTTCAAACACTTTGTTTCAAGTACTGGATATAACTTAAATGGGCTAGTCGATCTAAATGCAAAGACGTGTAGTTGTATGAATGGCAACATTGGTTATCCGTGTGGCCATGTTATAAAAGTTGCTCTTCATTTAAACCAAGATGATTCAAGCGCATACGCTATGGATTGCTACACTACAGAAGTTTATCGACAGACTTATGCCGAGATTGTCTACCTATTCCACATCCTTCTGAGTGGGACATACCAGATGACTTACAAACAGTTTTGCCACCAGCCATGGACAGAAGGCTACCTGGCCGACCAAAAGTCACGATCGTATACCGTCTAAGGGTGAAGAGAAGAAGAGATCGACATGTAGTCGGTGCAAGGAAAATGGTCATACAAGGTTGACATGTGGATCACCAGTGCCATCAAAATCATCTTTTCCTCTACC